ATTTATTTTCTGCATCTTTAAACTCTGGTACACTGTATCAGAAGACACCCCAGCCTAATTGGGTCTCTGTGTGAAGTACGTAGCCTCCCAGTTAATAAGTTACTTAATAGCTCATAAAGTGCCCTCTAGGCTCCCCTCAAACTATAACCATTCCCAGGCAGCAAACCAAGCACTTATCACACTTACAGACAGTTTTAATATCAAAAGTCAGAAAGCAGAAGAAAGACTAAATAATTAAATTCTTTATACTTTTTGTTGAGGGGTAGGGTGAAAGCTGGGTGTTCTGTCTGTATGTTAGGGGACAGGCCCTTTTAGACTGCTTTTTCCTTTGGTCATTAAAATGCAGAGAGACAATAAAGCTGTGTAATCATCCTGTAACACTTCAGCACAAGTATTACACCAGGATCTTCTGCTGAGTTAAAACAACACCCAAGATTTTCCTGGATGTTAGGCACAGCCATTGACAGTTCACATAGACTGCAGCAGGAGCCCAGCACAGCAGAAGCTAAGCTTGGCTTCCTCTGGATCAAAGGGCACAATCCTTTGGCACCACAATGCCAGCTAAAGTGTCTAGATGGACTTTGAAATATGCCAGAAAATGTGAAAGTTTTCAAATTAACTTTTATGCTACATCCCACTCAGCTGGTGTAGAGTGCATTAAATGCTACCATGAAGTGTGTCAGAACATACTCCATAGAGGACATTTAATGTTAACATCTTCACTTACAGGGTCACTGGCAATAACAAGTGGTTATCTAAGTGACTGATGACCCAAGCCTCTGGCACAAAGGTTGTTATTTCTTTTGTATCTGTGGTTATTTCCTACTAATAATGCATGTGTTTCTTTCCTCATACATAAAGCCTAAGAAATCTATTAAAATGACAGTATTTGAACAATAGTAGAATACAGTGCAGTTATGAACTATAAAAAAAATATGAATTAGTAAGAATTTGAAACTATCTAGCATGTACTCTTATGGATTTATCATTCTATCCTAAAGGGCTTTATTCCAGGAGAGATTTGGTCCAAATGAATATTAGTGACTTGCAGATGTGCAATGTATGCCTTAGCTAGTATACCAAATCATGAATGAAATCTTGGCAGGGAATACAGTGCACGTATTGGAAGAAGGTTTTCCAGACAATTGCGATTTCAACAGTTATATTAGATTTATAAAATACTTTAAGAGGCAACATTTCTTCATGGTGCATCCTTGTTATTTTCCATAGATTCAGCACTGCATGCAAAGCATACATTACAAATTACGCATGCTCATGAGCCAGCAGCTTATAAGTAAATGTATGTTCTCTAACAAATATAGACATTATATTTGTGTATATTTGTGCTTGTAGGCACACATTTTGCACTATTTGGTGTTCCTTAACTTTCTGAAGATCTAAGGTTGTTTTCACAAGAGAATTAAATACCTTTTTCAGTAATAATCCCTCCTTCCCCCCAGCTTTCTGGAGAATTTTGTTAACCTATTTTGTTTATTCTTGCTGCCAAGCCATAAAACTCACACAGTTAAGGCAGTATTAAGGTGACTTTTGTCATTTTTGTTTCCACAAGAGGCAGCTCCATTGACCCAAGAGCCTCCAAGGCAGTATCACTTCACTCAGGTTAGCATGCATGGCTGTGCTGCTTGCTGCAGAGAAGACCTCTAGGGCTGGCATTTCGGCATTCTGCCAGCAATGACATCATCCCCCAGCTTACAAGAGCCTTGTAAGCTTGGTTTGGGCAGAGCAGATCTAGACAAGTGCTGATGCGCAGTCAGACACAAGAGCAAGACAGAACACTGTTCCACCACAGGCTCACAGAAACACAGTACCCCGCATCCCTGCAAATGTGGCTCTGGAGCCCAAGTACACTCACTTGGAGAAGTACATGCCCCTGGTACAGTTCCCAGGAGCTGCTTTTTCACTCCTTCTGCATAGGACTGTTTTAACACTCACACTTTCAAAGTTCCTTTTACCCTTGCAGCAACAAGAATTAGCTGGAGGCAACTGGTTACTCACTGACCTCTGATCCCACACATACAACTGCCTGTGCTTTGCACCCACACCAACTCAGGCCAAGCTGTGGCTGTGCAGGCTCATGGAAGGCCCCGCTCCCAGTCCTGTATGGCTGCAGAGTGGAAGGAGTACCTGAGCTGGAGGAGGTCTGCAGAACCTCACCATGCAGGGTGACTTTTGCCGAGGAAATAAACAGGTTGGCTTTAAAAGCATGCTATTAGATGATTCTGTTCTAAAAGCATCATGATACATTTAACCAAGTTGACAGAACAGGAAGAAAACAAGAAAACAAGAAAACAAACTCAAGGCAAACTGCATTTGATCTGGAAATTATTAATATTTGAGACAATAAAGACAACCTCATTGAATACTATTTGCATAGATTCCCTCCTCGGAGCCAAACCACACTTTAAAGAACTTCATCTTGAAAGAGCACTGCCGAGTTGAAACAGAACTACTACCATGACTAGAGGGCTGTGGTGCCAAAAGATGTCAGATTGAACACGAAACAGAATTTTCATTCTTTTGTGTACTCCATAAATATTAACAACTTGACACCCCATAATGAAAGCAAAATGCACTTAAGCACGGGCAGAAAAACCAAACTAGCCAACTATTCTTCTTTTAGGATTACAATTGAAAATTAGTTGTAGAGGTCAGAGTTTTCCAGCATAACTGTAGGTTGGGATTAACTCTATGGACATTGTGAGTGCATAGGAGGAGAATTTAGCCTTGCATGGTGCAGGAGGATTGCAAACACCATGAAACAGGCACCCCATCCTTCCAGGGCTTTGCTGGATGGAAGCAGCTGCCCAATCCTTAAGTCAGCCAACTGGCCTCAGCCCACACTCAAGGCCATGAGCAGAGAGGAGAGGTGCAGCACAGGACTATGGCACTTAGCTGGCCTGCTGAGCACCACTCCTGAAGGAACCTCACACCTGCTGTGGTCCAGAGGCACACGATTACCTCCTCACATCCATGTGATGTACTGACAAAGTTTGCAAGTCACACAGAAAAGAAGCTTCAATTGCTGGGAAAGAAGTGACGGGGAGAGCACAGCAGACAGGATTTGGTGCGATGCATTGCTTTGATCCTATCAGTTGAGCATTTGCCTACCAATTCTCACTTTGCTCATTTATCTGATAGAAGGCTCTCTAAGTCTATAGCAAAAAAACCCCAAACCAAACCAAAACCAAACCCCAAAATCTCATAATTAAATCACAAAAGGTTTGTGTCTTGGTGCCCATGTCCATCAAAAACTTTTCTAGGCAAGAACTTCCATCAAGACCTGTGACAGAAAAGAAGCACTAACAGGGAGGTTGGGAGTATGTAGACTCCACAGGGGTGCATTTGGTTTGGCTCCACAAAATACTTCTATATATGGTTTGAAGAGAGCCAAAAAGGGCAGGAAATTGCCTGTGTGTGCATAAAGTAGTAAATGGTGAAGTATTTTTTCGATTTATTCCCCCCTCTGCAGACCAGCAAAGGCTTTTGCATACACTATCAGGAAAGAAACATATTTACAAATATTTAGGTTATTGCATAACAAAGTGAAAGCCAGTTCTAGCACTGAGAAGCGCACAAGTCACAGAAATACAGTCCTGTAGTACCTTGCTGCTCCTCTTATGAATAAAATTAAAAAGCAGAACATTACTACCATCACATATTTTCTTCCACCAGTTTTAGAGCCAGCTTCAGAAGCCAAAGTGGGAATTAAAGGGGCAATGGTGCATCAGGAAATTAAAGTGATCCTAAGCACAAATATCTCAACTTTTGACTCCTTCTATATGCCTGCTCTTTGCTTACCACAGTTTCATTTGCTGTGTCTGAGGCAAGAGGAAACTAACCTTACTGAGGGCCCTGGACACCAAGATGAATAATAGCTTCCCCCAAGGAAAGCTCCTACTTGACAGTGAGGGCATGCACAATGCTTTGTTTGCAGGCTCCTGTTGCACGGAATCAGGGCCTGTCTGAGCTCGAAGTTGTTAATGCTTCCACATCCTCCTCCAGCACAGGAGGAAAGCACTGTTGAGTCTGTCCTACCATCTCCTACTGAAACACACTGTATCTTCATACTCTGGAAATACAAACTGCGTGTGTACCTCCTTCAAGGAAGGCTTGGAGCTTTGCAATGCTCTAATCTCTACATTGTTTACGCAATTTCATTGACCCTTTCTACTCTCCTGGCAGCGGCTTTAGGAGGACATGCAGAAGCAGCTGCTTCAGGAGCATACAGGTGGTCCTGACAGAAGTAACTCACACCAATGCTTCTGGAAGAGGCACACAAGCCAGCTCTTGCACCATCACCTTTTTTAAAGGTGCCACAACAATGCTCTGAGCTCCCCTGGTTGCTGTACAACATAATTCCACTGTTTGATCAGTTCCAGGAAGTGCTTCACTAGGCCAACCTACATTTTAGACCCAAAACCCCTCCAATAACAATGAGACAGAAAAAGAGCTGTAGAGGTATTTTACTGCCCAGCCAGAAACATGTTCAGGTTAGAAGCTTCTACCTTAACCCCAGCAGCCTACCCAACAGATGTTACTACGCTTCCTGGGGCTCGGGATGACTTGATCCAACTTAAATGTAAAAGTACATGATAACAATATCAACACATTTATGTAAGCAACAAATGTGTGGTTTAAATTAGCTTGTTCCACAAACATAGGCTACTGAACAGCCCCATCTGCACATGGGGAAGGCAGCAATGGCCAGGTGCATGCGTAGTAGAGGGGAACAATGAAGCAAGGAGGTAAAAGGTGGAACGAGTAGCTGAATGCAATGAGAGGAAAGAGGAGGGAAGAGGAAAGAGGACAGGATTTTTTAGTGCAGCTCAGCAGCAGACAGTGCTGACCTCTGTCACTGCTGCTGAAGCTACTGTGAAGCAGAAAGGTAGTTCCAGGGATCCTGCAATAGCACCGCCGCCGAGCTTCACTTCTCAGGGGCTTTCTGCAAGCTGCTGAGCCTAGGTAAGTCTGGCATTCACCTGAGTCTGCCTGGCAGCCCAATGGGATGCCTACAGTGTGACTGCCATACCATTTCACTGGAAACAAACAGGGGCCTGAAAGAGCAGAAGAGGAAGCAGCAGCCTGTTATCCTTGGGGTGGAAAACCCCCCGAGATAAAAAACACACACCAAACAACAAACACCCCCAAAAACATCTTGGCCCACCTCATTGCCATCTGCTGACATGCAAGTGGAACAGGGATTTACAGTAACCCTGAGAGTGGCCAGAACCTAGAGTTGTTGAGGAGCACCAGCTCGGGGCAGGGGGGGAAGGGGACAGGGATGGATGACACACAGACAGAGTCCCAGAACCACTTTATGAGTTTAACTTGAACATCTCATCTGGGTTTGAAAGAGGCTTTTTTTAAACCTACTAAAGCTCAAGCTGAAATTTTAGAGCTCCCAAGGCAAAATCCTTGGCTCTGACCAGGAAGCACAGATGGCAAGTGCTCAGGGACAGCAAGACTACAACAACGCAGAAAACACCTCTTGGAAAAGGGAGCTATGTGGAGAGGGAATCCATAAATACTCAGTGCCTGGGGTTTGGTCTGGAGCAACAGCCACAGGTCTATGTGGCTGTTTAATGATCTTTGTATCATTAAACCTGCTGTTTGCTTAGTTGCAAATACTAGCTGGGCGCTCCCTTGGAAAACCTACGGCATTCCATACCCAAATTTTGAAATTCAATGGACATTGGCCATTTAAGTCCCACAGGGATGCAGGAGCATATTCTCAGTTTCTGTGCATCTTCACCTTTATTCATGTGCTTAAAATGACTGCATTTTAAGTGTCACTGGAAAGGACATGTTAAATACGCTTCCACTGGCTTTAGACAATCCCAGCTTTTTACCAGAGGAAATTGAATAAATAAAATTTTAAATAAAAATTACGAAACCTTTTAAATAGACACAGCAAATCATTCTGTTGAACCTTTTGATATATACTAAACCCACTGCGTTCTTTAAAAAATCACAATTTTTCTAATTTAATTTAAACCAGCCATGAAAACAAAGGATTTAACTGCACTGCAGTTAATGATTCCAATAAAAAACCCTAGCTGTTTACATGTTCGACACAGAGAGTTTTCCTGGCCCCTTTTAGCTGTCCATACAATACATTGTTAAGTTAACACTTAATAACACCAGATTAATATATAACAGAGAGAGGGTGCATTGCAGCCTCATTTGCTCCATTTAGCAAGTTCTATTAAATTCTGTTTTTCTCCCTTAGAAGACCATAAATATGCCAGTGCTCACCTTTGAGAATGAAAGTCTAAAGTGCAGCTTCATCTGGGCAAATCACTTGGCAAGTAATTTGTGACCCTCGATTCTAAATCACATTAAAAGTACCTATTCTGCTAAATGGGGGATCTGAGGCCAACTGGAGCATGAAGAAGAAGAGCATGTTAGTTGCCCATTTTCCCCGCCTCTGTCCCCAAGCCTGTGAACCTACCTGAGAGCCAGACTGGTTCCACACAAATGCTGCTGACCACAAGCTAAAGAAACACTACCTGCAAGTCTTGCCTTCCTCATGAGTATCACTGTGCTAGCTGGCATTTGGGAGAGCCCGTCTCTTGCCAGCTTGTGGTGGTGTCTGCTGGATGTTACTGCAGCAAGAAGCACTCTGACATACTGAAACTGCTATGAGTTGCTAAAGGATACAACACACCCATGACAGGCTAAAGTGGACTAATAACAACCTCCCCCTTCTCCACCACTGGAAGTGGGCAGCAGAAAACTCCAAAACAGAGTTTGCAGCAGGGATTTTTGGAAAAGATCTGTAAAGGAGATCACAGCTCAGGTTCCTGGGGAAGCCCAAGAACCCTCAATATAGGAGGGAGGGACTTGCCTTTGTAACAGAAGTATCTTTGTTCAACTGCAGCTCAAAGGTCTGTGCAGGAAACCAGATGCCCAGTGGGAGGACTTACAGAGCAACCCAAGAGTACCAGTGCTGGAGGGAGTGCAGGAGCACATCCAGCATTCACACACAGAACTAGCCCATAATCAGCAAGATGGATACAGGGGGACTTCACCAGTCACCACTGTTCGTTACTATCCTTTAAACCATCTCCTCAGGCTGTATTGACTTCCCTTACCCCCTCCCTAAACCAGAAAGGCTGTCGAGCTGGATGCTGTTACACCTGCACTGCAGATATGCCCCCCAGCCCCTGTGCTCACCCAGAAATCACAGTGCAACTGATTATGTCCACCCTGCTCTGAGCAAGTATCACTGCCTCCCTGACTCAGTGCAAGATTTGTGCTAGAGTAACCTGGGAGCAGCTATGAATTTAGGTTCCACCCTTTTTATGGGTCTGCAGGGGTAAGAGTAGTTTACACTTCAGTACAGTCTAACCACTAGTTCTCTTGCTGATGCACTCGGTCCTTAAGATTTAAGGAAGACCTGTGTTACAGGAACAGGAAAACCAAAACAAGTGTAGGAGAAAAATACATTCTGGCTAGAACTTCCCCAGGGATATGGTTCTCTTGTTAATGACTTCAAATATATGAAAGAACTATAAATAAAGCTACAAATATGTCAAGGTGCAATTAGCAATGAGAAAGCAGAACTCCCTCTCGTGCATTTCTGCATAGTGCTGACCAACACTCAGGATTTTGAAAGTGGTATGTGGAGTGTGCATCTTAGCTCCACCACTGGGGTCCAAACCCTTTCAAAGGACATTCTTTTGGCTTTTTGCACATCACTTAGTGCTTTACACTCTTATCTTAACCCCCACAAAAATTAGGTGTTCCTAGCCATGAAGATTATTTCAGGTTCAGCGCTAGCATGTATACATTTTTGCCAGTTGTTATATATAATGTACTATATATTCCAGTATAATGTAATAAATTACAGCAATTCAGCCGTAATAGAGTATGCATTTTTACACAGTATTATAATAAACACAAATTAAGAGATAGTTTCTAGGCACATCTTTCTAAATCACAAACATAGTTGTGATACTTTCTAAATTATGTGAATTAATACAGCTGCAACATTACCAGAGCTCTCCTGCCTCATACTGATATTTGGCGAGAAGAATCTGAAACTTCCCTGCGTTAGGAAGACTACAGAAAGCTTCTATGTGCTTTACTTCCAGGTGGCTATACTAAAAGTGCCAAGTACAATTGAGCATCCACTGATGAACAGCTACCTAAAACAGAGGAATACAGAACACTTCCAGGCCTCATTCTCCACCACCAAGTTGCACTTGGCAGAGATGGGGAATGTCTGCACTGTGCAATCCAGTTCAGGGCAGATACCCAAGACCACTGGGGACCTGAAACAGTGCTGCCACAACAGCAGGGTGCTCTGCCCAGGCTAATTAGTTGGTCTACAAAGATCTAGGACAGCTCAGCTGCTCCCAGGGTGAGCACCCACCTGCAGCGAGCTGTTCTGTGCATCTGTTCAAATGCCAGGCTCCCAGATTCCCTACAGGTCACCTGGACTATAGCATGCACAAAACAAAAGCACACAGCTGTTAAGCTTTTCACGACTGCATGTTCTCCTTTCAGAGGGCTTTACCAGTTATACTGGGTTTGGCTAGTTAATTTTCTTCACAGTAGCTTGTAGCATGCTGTGTTTTAGATCTGTGGTGAAAATGGTGTTTCCACTCCTAGATGCCCATGTTGAGGCACCATATCATACCTCATCTTGTGTAGCCCAAATGAGTGACAATACGCATCACAGGTAATCACATTGTCCAGAGCACCTGCATTTGGGGCAAGGGAAGTTGAGCCCAGATGGGTCAGTTCCCAGCTGCAAGGGCACTCTTACAACTTGAAGCAGCCAACTTTTATTCAACTACATGGAAAGGATTTGTGGAGAAAGAACCAAAATGCAGTGGAAGCTGCAACAGCTGCAGAGGCTGGTGACTAGAACATTCCCTTATGTAGATAGAAAACATAAGACTCAATTCTTTCAGCCTGAGCTCTGTACTCTTCAGGGCTGACATTCCCATGAAAGAGCTCATTGTCAAATACAACATTAGCTGCTCAAAATACATACCTTGCCTGTATGTTATTTCTCCCAACACATTTGTTCCTCTGCAGCTGTTCCCAGTTTCACTGCCTAGGTACCAAGTCAAGTCATATAAAAGGAGGAAGGCAGATTCATGCTTTAAGAGATTAGTGGATTTTCCCCCATCTCTGTACTGTTCTCCCCATATTTATCTAAGGCTGGAAATGCCTTGTCCTGCCTTGGCCCTGTCCCTTCCTACAGTGTTGAGCCAACTCTTCTGTACAGTCCTGCCAATTAATTAGCAGCTGCACTACAACATGGATGATGGCGATGGATGTCTTACGGCTGTGCCAGCAGAATGTGGGCTGCAGTACACCACTCGCTGGTAAGCAGCACATGAAATACCTGATACCAGCAGAAGGGCATTGGACAAGGCCACTACTCGAGTTGAGCCCTGCTTAGGGAAAAATCAGAACAAGTTTCTCACCATGACATCTTTAGGAAGGTGTCAGGGTGGGCAACGCCAGGCTGGTGGCCAGCTGCAACAGCCTTGGGTGGTGTTTCCCTTTCCCCAGTTCCCATGTGGAAAGCGTTGCCAGCAATGGGCATGAAAAGTTTTCCTGGTAGACCAGAAGCTTGTTGCATTTTGCAAATTAGCTTGATCTCACACAAAGAAACATGCAAGAGTCCCTTATAATGTTTCTAATGGCTGCTGAGCCTCAGAGGTAGCATAAAGTAATGGCTTTCAGGCTGTTTATTGCTCTCTGCCACCCCAAAACATGTCTACCTTTTACTAACAGTAACCTTATGTTCAGAGAGGTATTTGCAGTTTATTGTGCAATTATCTTATGTAAGCTCCAGCTACTATTTGCTATGGACTCAGAAGGTGTCTCTGAAAGCATTTCTGTTTACTTCGCTTTCCAAATAGTAGCAATCCTAAATTCTCTGCATTTGGCCACATATAATGTGCCTGAGGAAAAGAGACCAAATCCTGAGGTACAACACAGTAACTATACGTTTAGTTACCAGTGGAAATTACATATTAACAGTTGTTAATAATATACTTGAATAGCTAATTCTGAAGCTTCTCTCTCTTTT